TTAATTTATCATGTCAGCCGATTTGTTTTGACCCAATCATAATTGAGGACTATCAAAAAATTTTGTGCTTAAAATTATTTCAAAGCGAATTTACATAAAAACGTCCTTTTTAACTAACTTTGTACTTCTAATTAAATATGTAGAAAATTATGAGATTTACATATCTCATTATAAGTCAAAAGTATGTTAAAAAGGCCATTTTTAAAAAAATTTTCTTCCGAATTCACCCTTAATAGTTACCAACCAATCAAACAATGGCGAACCAAACCTGAATATATCAACAAACGTTAAAAGTACTTCTTTTTACAACTTAGCATAGCTGTTTTATTCAATTTTTTTTGTTTTTTATCTTGTCTAGAGGCTAAAAAGCTCTTTTTTAGTCATATACAAGTGCTTCGTTTGTTACTTTTTTTGACGTTACTTAGGAGCAAAAAATTTGTGTAACTTTTGGTCCAAAAAAGGCCCAAAAATCAAAATCGGCCGATATGTATTTTTTATTTGCCTACGTAAGAGAATATTAAAACAAAAAAGTCCGTATTTTCGACAGATCGGATAAATAATAAGTAAATAACGGAATACAAATTCCCGATATGCACTCTATATGCTACCATAAATCTGCCAAAATAATATTTTGGCAGATCTATGGTAGCATATAGGATACAAATCAGGAAATTTGTATTCCGTTATTTACCTGCTACTTATTTGTTCAACCTGTGACGACCGGGAATATTTATAGTAAATATTGTATCGGAAATTCATAAAAATTGGTCCGGCAGAATTATGAGAAACAACCATATTGCCTTAATTAGATTAAAATTTCTTTAATTGTTACTATTAGTATTATATACAGTATTTTGTGACTTACAATATCAGATAGGTTATTGCAACTTGGTAGGGTTGTATGAAGAAAATTACCATCATACATATTGATATAGTCATAAAAGTTTTCAGTAAATTAGATTTTATGGAGTTTACTAATTTCCCAAGTTCATATTGGATGCTTAGAAATCCTGTCCCTGATTGAACGAAATAGACTACAATTTGATACGTGATTAAAAGAAACATTAAATAAACAAAGCATATTGTTTGTGGTTAGTACTAAGGTCAAGACTAATTTATCATTCTATGTTAAGTTTGATCTTGCAATTTAATTGGAAGACAGAAAGTGGCGTAATCTACATTGTCCAATCAGAAATGGCATTTACATACATCCAATTAGAAGTGGTAGGGGAAAATTAGGGCATCCGATTTTATATGTTCCACATTGTAACACAACTATGCAACATTAAATAATCAAATTTTAGATCTTACATACAATACATCATTAAATCTAATTTACCAAACTAAATGCAAAATTATAACCTTAATTAAAACCCTAAATTAGATGTGGCAAATTTCGTGCATCCAATCATTATGAACTGTGATACTCGGTAATTCAGTCGAAATCCTCAAATGCCAAGAATTCTCGATTCATGACAAATCATTCAACTCCAAACACTTTATTATTCCGATAATCCCTCAACTAACTAGGGTTAACGAAATGTCGACAATTCATAATTCTAGAATAATGAGTAATAATAAATTATCGAGATTGAAATTTTCTGGAAGGATTATCTATTTTGATTTCTGAAAGGTCGAGATTGTAAGTACAATCAGACCTTTTTAAGTGTACACTTCATAAATGCACGCACTATGTAAAATCTCCCTAAATGCAATGGCATAGACATAGTTTAGCCTTAACTTATAATAATACTATATAGCTTGCTCTCTATAAATGCACACCCTCTGAGTGCACATTTTGACTTTTTTTTTTTACTTGTTCCCGAGAAGAATTCATTTAGAAAGGTTTGGATGTATCTAGATTTCAGATATCCCGATTGTTACAAGTAATATTTATAACTGTAATATAACTTTTATATAGTATCGGCTTCATGCAGTCAAATTTCCCTGAATTGTTGCAAGCAATTTGTGATCGAACATTTAAATGATTATATGAGTGATAATTACGAATTAATCACATCTCGTTTGATTAATACTTACGGCGGTTATATTTTAATGAAGCGGATATTTCCGATTAGTTAAATATAACGGAATTTCTTTTATGTAAGTTTGAAAAAATTTAGACCCTTTATAAATTCATTACTGCAAAAATTATCGCATATATAAACATTATCCATATTAAAATACTGTAATACCTTGTGATCTATCATAAATGAGCTTACTTTATCCGTTTAAACTGGGAAGCATGCAGACATATTTCATTCCCTTTAGTCTTTGTTTGAATACATTGGATTACGTATTGTCTTACGTAATGTTTTAATCCTGCTTCAACTAGATTCGTAACTAGAGATGCGATAGAAATAGAACAGTTACGGCTTAAACCGTAACTAGCTAAAGCTTATGTCGTGACTAGTTACGGTATAAGTTGTAACAGTTTCTACAGTATCTTTATTGAAGACCAATAAGAAGATGCCTAAATTAAAAAAACATTAGACTCAGGGTGAGATTACGAAAGATTCATATGAAGAAGTAAAGTTTTCATTTTACTTATTAAAATCTTAATAGTTCCAACTAGGAGAAATGTATAGTAGATATGTATTTACACGTAATTCAATTCATTGACGATAAATATTTAATTGCGTATATTAAAAAATATGTCAAATAATATTTCAAAAAAAATCATCTAAATAGACATGTCCGCTATGAAGTTATTTTGTTGATACTTTTAGTGCATGCGTTTGATTTATTTGTCAAACAAATTTTTTATTTATAGCAAAAATATGATATTCTAGATAAAATAGATAAAATCTAAAATATGTTGCTTCATATACAGTATTCAAAGGTTTAAATTAGGACTTGATCTTTTGCATTAAATGATTAAGTCATATTACACATTCATTAATATATTTCTAATGAGTTTATAATCACCAAATAACTTGGTTCGAGATTCATTAAAGCAAGTTTGATCACATATGTCTTAAAAAGGTTGAGGACTGACAATATTAAGGGGTTTGTCACTTTTAAAATGCCCTCCAAGCATAAAAATATACTTACTACTGTCGAATGTGAGAATTCCACGCAGAATTATTTGTAATGTGTACATACGTTCGTACTCACCTTCAGGAAAACTTATTGTTAAACTAACATTTGTTTTTGGTTTCTTGTGTGAACTGATACTGATGATTGATAAAGATATAAAAAATTGTTTTTTTTTAGAATAACAATATTCAAAAAAAAAACCATTAAATTAATCGTAATAATATATAAACTGATTCATTGAATGTCAATAATCCAAAAAAAATTTTTTGTATTGCCAAACTGACAGTATTCGGTACAGTATGATAAGAACACACGTTTTTGTTTTTCATTACACATAATGCAATAATGAGATCTACCATATTATTTCTAAATGAGATCTACCACATGCGTCGGGCGAGGAACGAATGTTAGAATATCTATATGTGATATAAACTAAATAAAGAGACTATTGATTACTTCATTATTACTGTTATTATCTCAATTGATTTACAAATTAAGAAGTCCTTGTATGTAAGTTGTACATATATCCTGTACGTACTTACCATATTTGTAAAAGGTTATATGTTGGTGATATATTCAATTATGGCACACAATTCTGTTATCATCATATACATAAATATTTGAATAAATATTTTGTTGGCTTCTTTACAATCATCACTAGAATTATATCTCAGGTCGTCGTGCATGTATTTTTTTCAGAGAAGTAACACATGTATGGGACATTTAACCCTAAATCAAAAAAAAGCCTAAAAATGGAAGCATGATAAATAAATAAACGATCAGCGACACATTGATCGACAATTCCCTTTTTTGTGACGGAAAATATTCCTGGAAGTGATTGTTACAAAAATTGAAGGCAATAGTTTAATTGGTTACAACAAGCATAGTAAATCTATATAAACCGATTATACGGTATCAGAAGAGATGATGTGTATTTTGTTAATGGAATTGTAATACATAAGCATGTCCTTCGATGCCGAATTTTTCTTCAAAGAAAAAAAATTTCAATTATGAACGACTTGTATACTAAAAAAAAAATTGATGCATGCGATCTCATAGTGATAATCTGCGCATACAGAACATTTGTTACGTAGACAATATTTATAAAAAGGTGTGTAGGATTTGTTTGATATTTGTGTTTGTGTGAAAATCAATGAACACAAATATCAAAATCCACGTATCTTTTTTAGAGATGTCCGACTATTCGGCATCTTTTTTAAATGTATCTTTTAATTTTTGTGAACATTTACTGCAAGACGGTGAGAATAATGAATTTATGCTTGGTTGTAATCAATTACCAATTGAATTTATTCATGATACCATAGATACATTAATTACTGTATGCGTGTATATTAACCCTGAAATTTAAAGTTTTTTTTTGTGCGTGTGTGTATGAGCATTTCCTATCATTATACTTTGGATTCATTCAAAGCATATCCCGGATAGTATTTTAATTGAACGAGTAACATCTGGATACACGGATCTTAAAACGAATAAAATCCGGAAAAGAAGTCCAGGTATCCATTTAAAGTTTAATGGATTTAAAATATCAGGATAGACTTTAATGTACAGTATATCCGGATACTTTGCTAAATTTTATCAGATAAGGTGGTGTTTTTATACGGTATAAAACAGGAGAAACCGTCCAAATATAGATATGATTTTCATTCTCCGTTACACAGATCACTCATTGTATCGACCAGTCAAAATATCACTACAGGATTAGTCAACCAATCAAATTGCGAAATTTACAAAAAGACGAAACCATGGGATTCAAAGGGATTCAAAAAATATGTTGTAAAGCAAAGTGAGAGCTTCATGTTTGTTTAACTATTTTCAATATTCATAGAAAAGATAAGTCAAGCGAGCCTTATTGTAAAATAATATAAAAAAAATTTTTATCAATTGTGTAACGATTTTGTGACGTATCAACGGTTCCCCCTGTTACGGTATAAACAAAAATGTATCAGGTGGGTATCATAGAAAAACAAAATACCCAACCATATATATAATTGTACGGTAGTAGATTTAGACTGACGTAAGAAAAAATAGTAGGACATAATTAAAGTTGGTTCAAACCCAATTTTGGATCTCCAAAATACTTACGATGCCGAAAACGTAAAACTGAAGGTCAGGGATGTTATCAAAATTAATGTGCTACTGAAGGTCAAAAGCGTTGAAAGCGTATTTTGGTGTGCTAAATGTTTTAATAAATTTTATCATCTAAGCGTTGGCTGTTAATCGTACCTGAATTTTACTCATAATATATTTGTAGCATATTCTATAAAGCTGAAGCTAATCAAAATTCGATAACATACAAAATTTTGACTATGAAATCATCTTTTGTATTCTAATAAAAAATATTCCTTGAAATTTTGCTATGAACTAAAGCTCTACCATAACACTAACCCTAACCCAATTTTTTTTTTATTATAACCTCATGATTAAGATTAGATAGTCATGTTACATCTAATCTTAGTTACGGCTACAGTAGCAAATATATTAATTCATAAAAAAAAAAACTACATATGAACTTCCATAAATAGAAAACAGATTGACATTTAAAGAATAATTAATGACTTAATTTTCACTGCTCATATTTCGCTGAGTTTTAAATTTATTTTGATGACTAATAATCAAAAGAAAGCTTGAATTCTAAACTTTTTTTAACTATTAGATTATCGAAATATGAGCTGTAAAAGTTAAAATTAATTTTTTTTTTTTTTTTAAAAAAAAAAGCCCACACTTTCTATTGGTTGAATTACTTTATGTGTCACCGTCTTTTAAAATGTGACATTTCAGTGGGGGCTAATATTAGGCTTCGTAGACAAATTTTTTGTTAATACGCAAAAAGTGATTTCTTGGATGAAATTTTGATATTATTGTGACTTTCACTTGTCCTCGTTACTGATGCTAATTGGCCAGATTCAGAAAGTGTGGGTAAATTAGTAATTATTCCTAGGGTTGGTAAAGTTCTTAGGTTCGGAACCTTGGAACCTGGTTTTTAAAAACCAGGTTCTAATTTTCAAACTAGGTTCTTAGGTTCGGGTTTATATATAATATACCAATATACAGTAAAATCTCTATAAGTGTATGCACTTGGGCCAAGCTTTAATGATGAGCACATAGAGAACAAAAAAGGTGCACTTATAGAAATCAGTTATATTTTTGGGCAAAACTTGAGCGTACATTTAGAGAGGGTGTACACTTATAGAGGGTGCACTTATGAAGGTTACTTGTATGGCTATATCGATACATTTGAATTAAGAAGGAATGGAAATAAATATTGTTACATGAAAATCTACAGGTTATACAACCGCTACAGTATATCTGAAGATACACTAATTTAAAATGCTACAAGCTGAAACTAGATTCCAGAACCAGGTAGAACTAGGCTTCAGAACCAAGTTCTGGAACCAAACCAAGTTTAACCTAGGTTTGGAACCTAATTTATAAAAACCTGGTTCTTAGGTTTATAAAATGGAACCTAAAGGTTTTGGAACCAAAACCGAACCTAACCCAACTTTACCAACCCTAATTATTCACCGTTCTTATTAGGGATTGAAACCGATCAAAAAAATTTATGACCGATCAAGTTTATATTTTACCGGTCAACCAGATCAAAATAACTTCTATTACTATCACGCAAAATTGGACCGGCAGATCCTCGATTTTGATTGGCTAACGGTCGAGGATCTTCAAAATTTTGGCCCACATTACAAATTTGTTTACTAATTTCCGGCCGGAATCAACTTTTTAATTTTTTCATTACAAAAATAGAAATTCTTAAAAAATAAGCCCGCATTATTATAAAATTGACCCAAGAGCAATTTTCACTTAATGGGCGGTTATTATTCCATTAGTAAAATTTTTGATCATCGCACTTAGCCAATCAAAATCGAGAATCTGCCAACCCAATTTTGTTGCGGCACCTAAGCAGAACACAAATCTAATTATTATTGGTCGTTATATCTGAACTAGAGATTATACCCAGGTAGAAATTGTTATTGTATGTCTATACTTGCTGGCAAAACTCAAGTCGACTAGGGCGGCTAATAATTTACCAATCAGAATTGTATAATGATAATCGATATCAATTTTAAAATCAAACCTCTTATGAACATTTATACTGACTAGGCCTCCGCATGGGCCTGGGCTACCCATGGGTACCCGCGGGTAGGCCCACAAAGGCCGGGCTAGGGTATCAAATCCCAAGCCCTAGGGTAAGGGTAGGGCTTGAGAAACTAAGCTCTTACACAAACGGGTAGGGCTTGGGTAGTGCCACTACCCAGCTCCCATACCCACGGGTACCTATTATGTGAATTTCAGTTCATATTATTGGCTAATTTTTATCGACTTATACTGCTACTCAATATCATGAATTATAATTTTATTTTAGATCATGAGTGTAAAGAACAATTACAGCATTAAGTATTTCATTTATTAATTTAATAAAGTTACTATCTAATTCGTGCAATATAATCTGTAAATATAATGAATTCATTTATTAATTTAATGAAAGTTACTATCTAATTCGCGCAATATAATCTGTAAGGTTGATCTTTAGTATAACTGGGCAATATAGAATTATTATAAGATTATAATATATAAACATAGTATTTGAACTA